TATGCGTCCAAGTCTGGTCCGGATCTGCTCAGAGATAAAAATTTCTATTCGCATACGTACAGACGTACAGACACACACATACAAACAGACATTTAGATATAAGATTGACTATGACTAATGCCGAGAGGAATTTAGTGTAGTGATAATTCAGACCCCCACAATGATCGGCCGCCTCATCGTGGCGTGGGGGTGACACTGGGTGTCGAACTGCGATGCACAGCCGAGTGTACACTCTGGTAGGGCCTCCCAAGCTGTGAAGGAGTTCGACGCTTCCGGTTTCGGCCGGATGCCTAGCTAAGAGCCGGCCAGGCCAGATCCTCCGCCGTCTGACTTTCTTAGGTCGCTAGGTGGTCCCTCCCCGCTCCACATCAAGGTCAGCGATCGCCCCGTGGAAATCAAGAGTTGGCCTAGTAAGTCTGCTCCTGTAGAGGAAAAATTCTTATTATTCGTTCAGCAAAGAGAAGAGAAATAAACCCTGCACATCGGATCCCGCCTACGGCGCGTGGTAGCAAGAACGATGTCAGGGTACTCAGGGCGCCTTTCGGATTGGACAAAAACGACACGTCTGCCCGGACGACACGCCATGGAGACTGCCTCATGCTCCGCACTTACAACGCCAGGACAGTCTCCACAAACGCCGACCTCCACGCTCTTCTCGACGCTGCAGAGCACATCAACTACCACATCATCGCTCTGCAGGAAACGAAGTCCGGGAAGAAGGACGTGCGACAGATGAGTGATGTGACCCTCGTCATTCGTGGTGAAAAGGTTCCACCACGAAACGTTGGAGGCGTTGGCTTTATCGTCCACCCATCGATCGTCCATCTTGTCGATTCGCATGCGACTATCCATCCTACGATTACGACCTCCACGTCAGAAGACCATCAGCATCATCAACTGCTACTCACCAACATCAGCAGCTGACGACTCAGAACTAGATGCTTTCTACGAAGACGTGGAGCAGGTCGTCCGCAACGAGAAGCCTTCTATAAGTTCGTCGTGGGTGACTTCAACGCGAAGAACGGGATGCCACTAGAAGAGTAATATAGGATCGGGAAGTTTGGATATGGGCTTCGGAACGAAAACGGCAACCGTCTCGTTGGGCTTCTCTCCGCCGCAGGACTTTTCCATGGAAATTCTATATTCATGAAGAAAGAACATCGCCGGCGGACTTGGGAATCGCCCGCGGAGATCGACCACATTCTCACCAACCGAAGGCGGAGCTTGCTCGATGTCTCAGTAGTTCCATCCTTCTGCAGTGGCTCCGATCACCGTCTCCTTCGAGCGAAGATACGATTCAGTCGAAAGCTGGAAAAGAAAGTTTGCCACAGCGCCGAAAGAAGGAAAGAAGTCGTTTATGACGGTAACAGGTCAGAAGAGCTCATATCAAGTTGTGACTGGCCCATCGAGGAGGACCCAACGTACGACTACGACCGGCTTCTGAAAGGATTGCGAGTCTGCGGAGAGTGCGCCTCAGTGACTTCTGAGAAGAACTTGGAACGCATTTCGTCCACCAAGGAATTGCTCGAAAGAAGAAGATTTCTGAGGCAGGATCCGAATGCAATCCATCTCGAGCGACTGATAGCCAACGCCAGTTGCAGAACAGCTTTGCAGGAGGATCTCAGGAAGTACAGGCGCGCCAAGATACTGGAAGCAGCCGAAGAAAGACGAAGTCTCAAGAAGTGCCGTAGGGACCTCTGCGAATAACACGTACCGCTGGCTGCACTATTGAACAAAGACGGGACTCCGACTTCTTCTCGATACAAGAGGGAATCTATCGCGAAGAACTTTTACACCAACCTCTTCCGCTCAACAACACCCGTGCAGATGCCCGTTATTCCCCCTGGAGAAGTACCACCACGAATTCTACCAGCTGAAGTGCGCACGGCGATCCAGACCATGAAGACATCCACGGCTCTAGGACCAGACCATCTCTCCGTCGAATTTCTGCGAGCCGGAGGACAACGTCTACACGAGGTTCTAGCGTCGCATTTGACATCTTACCTTCAGAAGGAGAAGATTCCCGACCAATGGAGAACATCAAGAACCGTCCTTCTCTTCAAGAAGGGAGAACGGGAGGATCTTCGGAACTACCGTCCAATGTGCCTGCTGAGTGTGCTGTACAAGCTTTTCACGAAGATTATCCTAGCTCGCATATCTAGGACACTGGATGAAGCCCAACCCCAAGAACAAGCTGGGTTCCGCAAGGGATTCAGCTGCATGGACCACATCCAGACGGTTTCAAGAGTCATAGAAGTTTGCCGGGCGACTGCCTCTCGTCCTAACCTTCGTCGATTATGAGAAAGCCTTCGACAGCGTCGAAACGAATGCCATTCTGTCAACACTAGTCGATCAAGGAGTAGACCCAGCCTACGTGAGGACACTAGCCGACTGCTACAAGGACTGTACAACAACGATGCAGCTATTCCATCGCCCCCTGACCATTCCGATCGGGAAGGGTGTCCGACAAGGCGACACTATTTCGCCGAAGCTGTTCACCGCGGCCTTGCAGTGGGTGATGAAGTCCCTGGACTGGGACGAGAGAGGCATACGAGTTGATGGGAGTTTCCTGTCCAACCTTCGTTTTGCGGACGACATCGTTCTCTTCTCGAGCAGTATCATTGAAGCAGAGACGATGCTGAAGGAACTGAACGAAGTAGGGAAGAAGATCGGATTGCGAATAAATTGGAAGAAGACTCAGTTCATGAAGAACGCTCTTTGCGAAGATGCAGAAATGGAACTGAAAGGCACCCCTATTATGGAGACGTCTTCTTACGTATATCTTGGACGTTCGATGAACATGGAGAACGACTTGAGGGAAGAACTTAACAGGAGAAAAAGAGCAGCCTGGGCCGCCTTCGGGCCTCTGATGGAAGCCACCGACCAACTGACGGATCCGGAGCTTCGTGCCCACTTGTCCGACTCAACCGTTCTCCCGGCGCTCTGTTACGCAGCTGAGACTTGGGGCGACACTGCAGCCACGTCGAAAGCTTTACGGACCACCCACAGAGCGCTCGAGCGCAGTCTTCTGAAGATGACCCGACGCAAGCAACATCTAGTCGGACTTCGCAGCACGGATATGAGAAGAATGTCCCGTCTTCGTGACCCAGCGGAATACATTGCTAAAGCGAAACACCGATGGGCCGGTCACATCATGAGAAGAACAGACGACAGATGTACACTAAGAACATCTGAGTGGATTCCTCGCGAAGCCAAACGTCCCCGAGGAAGACCACCGATGAGGTGGGCAGACGTGTTCGTGGAACGGATGGACCAGCTGAGAAATCAGCTGGATACGATTTTCGCACCTGGAAGTCGTGTACGCAGCCATCGACGTCAACCAAGAAGATCGTGGATCTTGTGCTGGGGCCCGCACGCCACGTGAAGACGGGCCATCTAAGTATCTAAGTAAGTAAGTAAGATAATATCTGGTAAGGCACTCCCTTTAAGTTAGAAAGGTTGACTATGTTTTTTTATTTACTCGTTTTACAAAGCTCAAAAATTTCGACAATTTACTGACTATACACTTTTATTGCTAATTAAATTTCTAATTATAGGTTGTTTGGGAGATAATGTCGCACTACATCTCACCATAGCTGCGATAGAGGAAGCAGGGTCCACTTCAGTTGAAGAGGATTTCGGCTATTTCCTAAAAAAGTGAAGGGGTAACTAAGCCTTGGGGCGAATGCTGACGTTCCCAAGAATGGGTCGCGAAATTTTGAAAGTTACTTAAATGCGTTATAAAAATGTGCAGAGGACTTGTTTTTACTTGTAAATAATTGAAATATTTTTTAAAAATTTTCAAAAATTCAAATTAGCCTTGTAAAAAAATTTTTTTCGGGGGCGTTTTGGGGTCAGGGGCGGAAAAATTTTGGGAAGCATCCCAAAAAATTTTTCGGAGTGCGTGGCTAACTCACGCACCTTCATAGGAAAAAAATTTTTGTCGCCCTCCCCGAGCGGAAATCCTGTACGCCACTGGTACAGAGGTAATATGAAGAATTTCCAAATGCTTTGGTTTTATAGGGTCTTCGAACAGAGACTTTTTTGACTCAAGATAGCTTTATGTCGCATCAATCGACATACCATTGAGCTTGAAACATGTAGGAGAAACTTAGACCGTCTCTTTTTCTCCACTTATAAATTCACATATAAAATTCTTTATCTAACTGCAGCATCAGCTGTTTTTATGCGATCAGTTTGCGCTCCATTTCTGAAAGTAAAGGAAGGCTAGAAAAGACGGTCTACGTTTGCTGACAAGTCTTGTTCTGGAATACAGATAGACAATCAGGCATTTTCATTTATTCTTTACGCAGGAATTTTTTGACGAAAACAAACACGTTTCCCCGCTCCACCAATGTCTGGCTTTTTTGGGTCGCCGGAGCAAGATTTGGGCTGGAAAAGCTTTATGCTCCAGCTCTTTGTATACCATTCGATAGCTAGAAACGTTGACACGACGTAGACGTCTCTTTCTTCCTAGCTTTTCTGTAAAAGATATAAGCATTTTATCTAGCTGTAATGCCAGCCAATTCTGTATGATGATTTCAGGCTTCATTTTAGGAACCAAGAACGTCTTTTTCGAAGTTTTAGTTATGATTCGAAAGCTTTAGAAACGAATAATCTAAAATAATGCTCTTTTGTTTGTTATCATTCTCTCTGGTGAAAGGAGATGTAGCACGATTTTTGTCAGTAAACATGTATCCGTCATTGACCCGTCCATTCTACTCTTGCCCAATTCTTTCTTGCGACAATGTGTATTCATTGATACTAATTACTCAAAGAACATCTTTTCAATTTTTGACTATGCGTTATCAACGCCACTTTAGTGCGACGCGAGGTCTCAAGCATTTCGCGTTCTTTCAATAAAACACTGTTCTTCGATGCTCTCTTGCAGTCTTGATGTCTGGGGGAGAGAAGCAGCTGGCGTTTCCTTTCCAAACAAAAAGAGCCATTGTAATAGCTATTTCATCTGCCGTTATGCCTTGATTTTAATCTCAACTTCAGGTGAAAGGGGTCAGCCAGATGCCGGCCCTAAAGTGAAGGGGGCCAGAGAAGCTTCTCCACCCTCGCATCTATGCATCCTACCGCGGCGTGGTGGTCAGGAAAAAAGTGTGTATGGTGCCATTGGACAGAGGAAATCCAGCTTTACAAGAAGTAATACAAGCATCCGCGAGACTTTGTTATACCTGCTCAGACAATCACAGGCTCTCAGCCGGCAGCTACAAAGCCACCGCGCTTTTGGTGGGTTTTCGCGGTGGCTTTATGGCTGCCGGCTGTGAGCCTGTGATTGTCTGAGTGGAGTTTAGAGCAACAATATTGAAAATATTCGAAGACTCGTATCTCCGTCCAAAAGATTCTTGAGGTTCTTTAATCTGAACAGGCATGTACTTTTTACATTACGCATTAAAGTACAGGTGATATTTTTTTGATAGAAAACGAGAAATAAAGATAGGCAAACTTTTCAATGAAAGCCTTTTGAAAATTGACTTTGATCTCAAGTAAATCAAATTTGTTGCGAATATTGGCCTTCATCTTGTAGAGCTTGCTGTGCACTATCGAATAGTACCCCTTCAACTTTTTTGTATCGGCCACTATATTGCGCGATGACCAACAACATGACATTATTTTCCAAACAACCTTATATTTGTTGTTAGAAAAAGTTTTACAGACCTTCGTTCCTTAAGGACGAGTTGCGGGTGAAGTCTGTAAAATCTTTTACTTCGTCGAAGCAAAGATGAAACAGTCAATTATCTACCAATGAAAAATTTTTCATTATTTCTTATTATTACCTCTTCAAAGTTCAAAGGGTTCACCCTTTGGTTTAAGGGGTTGGCGGCTGGCTGCGACGCATCTGCGTCTCTCTCGCGAGCGTTCTCTCTGATCATTCCCTAGCCTTGATTACGCCTCACACCCCGCCTTCCAGTCGCCAATTCCGTTGAGTCAAAGGTAGAATTGTTGAGATATCCAGTGAAGGATAATTAAGGTGGCCCTCGTAATGCAGCTTACTAATTTGTAACAAAAATTGTTGCAAAAAGCCTCCAAGATTTCAGACGATACAGCTAATACGCTACTTTATAATAACGGATCCATGCGAAGTTGGACTTCCACCTATTGTGTGCCTGTGCTTACGAACTCCAGCAAGCGTGTGCATGATATCCTTTACGCTTTTTCAAGTAGGCTGAGAACAAGAACACATTTGTTTATGTTTATGTAACGCTATGCCTTCCAGTTTCTGCTTATTGTCGAAAGAGCTGTGGCAGTATGGAAACATCAACAGTACGGATCTTACGGGCCACATATTGGATATATCTCGACTTTTTTATGCGTAAGAATTTTTTTCGTAGAAGAGATTTTTTGGAAAATTGGCTATCTTTAGCTATTCATATCCGTGGTGGCCACATCCTGGATATTGCAAAAAGGAGATCTCAATGAAAGGCAAGCATTCTGCTCTGCGGCCACGACACACACTAAAGAACGAGTTGAAATGATAAGCTTTATGATGTGTGGCATCAATATCACTACATTGGTTGGATTGCTAGTGCTAACCATGTTCAACAAATCTGCAAAGAAAAGGTATAGCTAAGGTTTTCTATTGCGTAGCAAAAAATGACCGACAACTTTAAGGAAAAAAGAAATGCAATTTGAATAAGTATTGAAATTTGAAGAACTTATAATCAACTAGCAAAATCGAAATGCATTTTTATCGAAAGAAGCTCAGAAATGACGTCGTGCTTAGGAAAAAATTATTATTATTTTCCTCTTAACTCCTCCTAAAAGCTCTTATCATTGGTATTGATTAATAGAACAAATGTAAATTTAACCATTCAGAAGGCGATTCGACCTTCATTCGTCTTATCAATTCCGCGAAAATGCCGATGTATTAGACATTATGCTCCCTCTTTCAATATTCGAAGCTCTCTGCTACACAGCATTCACGTTTTCGAACGGTATAATCACTATGTTCCACGAGCAACTGTCTACAGTGGCCTACCGTACCTTGTTCACTGCGAGTTACGTGAGTAAAAAATTCGACGTTACTGAACATAGATTTCATTTTGTTTTCTAGCTCGTTCCCTTCTACACTTTGATCTCTCCGACCATTTTGTGGTTCATCATTAAGCGGTTACAAAAGATGAAAGTAATTCGAATGAAGAAGATCACAACCGCTGTAAAAGACGAGAAGGAAGCCTACTTTAATTTGTATACGCAGATGTGGAGCCAAGCTGCGACCGTGAAAGTTGCCGCTTAGAGATCCGACCGTTTGAAGGCTTTGTCTCAATGCTAGCTGCCATGTCTAGCTTTGAAGTTTTTTCCTTATAAGAGCGTTTACTATCATCCGACATTAATTAGCGCATGGTGATCAATGATGACTGTTCACTATTATTATGTATAATCATTTTTTTCCTTATACAGCCTGGAATCTAACTACACAAACTATTTAAAAACTAGTCATGTAATTTTGCCCAGCTAGACTGACCGACAAACCCAAGCAGAAAACCAAACATGCAACCTCTGTCAGTCGGGCAACCTTTATAGCATTGAGCAATTTTCCAATATATCATGAATCCTGTATGTCTTATCCTGCCACTATACTTGGGTAATTCGAGAATTTTTCATCGAATGAATGAATATCGAATAAATTCGTAAAGGAAAAATTTCGAATAAACGAATATCGAATAAATTCGGAAAATAAAAAATATCGAATGAATGGATTTCGAATAAATTCGGAAAATCAAAAATATCGAATGAATGAATATCGAATATATTCGAACATTGGAAGTCGAATTTCGAATAAATATTCGAATGATTTATCGAATAACTAAAGCAATCACATCTCAAACTTGCAGACATATCTGGCTAGAGCCGATCCAATCATAATCAGCCCCCTAGTATCCCCTATACCAACTCCTAGCTCAAAATTTTTCAAAATAAAATAGATTTCGGTTTTAATCAGCATCCTCATTTACCCCCTGTACCAACTCCCAAGCTCGTAGCTCGAGATTTTCGAAAAGTCGATAAAATTTATAAAGTAAATTTTTATCCATAATCAGCACCCTCACTTACCCCCTTGTACCAACTCTCAGCCTCGCAGCTCAAAATTCTCCAAAAATCGATAAAGTCGGTCGGTCGGCATCTAGTCTATACATCAGCAAAAAGTCATACAGTGCTGGACATAATTATACAGCCACTCTAGAAATCGTCGTAATTTTTGTTCTTGTCAATGAATCTGTCTGAAACTTTGCTGTATTGTGCGCATGTCAACCTACCACAACCCCTCAAAACGGCTTCCAGTATTGTTGAGTTTGAACGGAGAAAAACGAAACAAATCGAAAAAGCCCTCTTTGAAAGCTGGACAAAATCATACAGCCACCTGGTTTTTCTAATCACTATCGCATTCGTTGACTCTCAAATTTTCTTGTACAATTACATCACAAAATATGAAACATTTGCGACACTTACGGCCTGTCTTCCTACTCAAATAGAAGCAATCGCTGCATTTCTTGCTTTTAAAAGCATTAAAAGTCAATCTCCTTCAACAAACAACTGCTTTAAAGAGTTTTCAAGTTCTTGTTCATTCCAAATGATAATCATGGAATCTACTGACCCTTCTGGATAGATGAGGTGAAGAGCTTTCGACGCTTTCATAAACTCTGCGTAATCGCTGATTTTGACGAACAGACTCCAACCTCACCATAGGGTTGGAACGCTTTTAAACCACAAAACTCAGTTTGCAATGTCCACAAAGTGCTGAACTTGATTTATCACATTGTCTACATGGGGATACAGCTTTCGCAACAACTTTCAGATTTTTCCTAATGATGCGGTAGCGATTTAGACCTGGAATACTTTCCACAAAAATTCCCTGCGAGCGGAAGATTCGATATAACCCTAGATCTCCTTATTTCCGTCTGTGTTTCATGTCATATTTCATCCGATGAATGAGATTAGCTAAGATTTTGAAGTTTCAAGCGTCTCCGGTTTAATCTCGTAATCTGAGTTGGCTTTGATTGTACAGGGTGCTCCACTCAACATTCAGTGAATGTCAACTGCGGCTGAATCGTGTGCTCAGTCCCGAAATTTCTTCCCAGTCATGCACACGAGTTCACTGTTGTATGGCCGTCGTAATGGCTATAGTGATTAGAAAAACCAGGTGGCTATATAATTTTGTCCAGCTTTCAAAGATGGCTTTTTCGATTTTTTTCGTTTTTTTCCGTTCAAACTCAACAAGACTGGAAGCCGTTTTGAGGGGTTATGGCAGGTTGACATGCGCACAATACAGCAAAGTTTCAGACAGATTCATTGACAAGAACAAAAATTACGACGATTTCTAGAGTGGCTGTATAATTATGTCCAGCACTGTATTTTACCCATTATGGACGATCTAAAAATCGATATAAATTTTTATGCTGTGCCCAAAAGATTCTTCTTCAGATGGTCTGAAAGAAACTGATGTACACCAGAATTAACTTTATTTCTTATCAGCATCAACAACGTAAAAGCAAAGGGCTTGCTTTACTTTCTACATCAATTAAAATCCACATATGATTTTTTTACTGTCGCAAGCAGTCGGAAGAATGCGACTCTCCATACAGTTCAAAGGTATAACGGTTGCAAAAGATGCATTACCGAGTTTTGCGAAAAAAGGACGAAGTGAGCTTGATACTCAGCTCTGACTACGGAGTTCATTCGAATACGAATTCGAATAAACATTCGAATAAAACATTCGAATAAAATCTATTCGAAACCCCGTTTTTTGATTATTCGAGTTTTCGAATAACATTCGAAACCTTGTTTTTTGATTATTCGAGTTTTCGAATAATATTTGAAACCTCGTTTTTTATTTTTGATTATTCGAGTTTCGAATATTATTCGAAAATGGAAGAACTCCAAATATCAAATTTCGAACACGAATATATTCGATTGTTTTATCGGAATGATGGAATTTCTATTTGATTCGGACCCAAGTATACCTGCCACTTGCGTTCCCGATTCCTATCATCACTATTTTTCAATTTTATCCGTTACCGCCTTCATCTTTGTTGTTTTCATTGACATGTACTCGTTTTTGTTTTCTTTTGCAGCGGAATATACGTTTATAGATTATAAATACGTAAACGTTTTTTTCAAAAGATTTCACTGACTACTACGCTGCGAGTTATTACATGTCATGCTCTTACAAGAGCTGTAAGAACACCCCACACTTCTTTAAGCTGTTGACATTATACCTCATCAACTGATAATAACATAAGCTACAGACACTGAGATAGCACCCACTGACTTTTGATTCCGGGGCTAGCAAAAACTGCTTGAAATTGAAGGTGCTTCCTTCGATTCTCAATCTAAGCTCATGCTGCTAAGCAGTAAACCTACAACAATTTGTTTTGCATTTAAACATTTTTCAATATTGACCGCGCGGACTCACCCTGGGCGTATTTGTGAGCCTCTATAAACATATACATTGGCATATGACGCATCAATTTCAAGTTAAACCGTCCAGCTATCTCCATCTCCGACATGACTTGCAATAACACTTACTTAAACGTTCGTTCTGTAAGAAATATTTCGCAAACACAAACTTGACACCCACACTTTCGGCCACCCTGTACTCAAGCTAATATAGTCATACTCAGCACTGCTTTATTCAAGCTCGAAACACTGTAGCCCCTATTCTAGTAATTGATACAATTTCCTCGAAAACAAGACTGAAAAAAAACCATTGCCGAATTACAAAGCAAGTACGAAAGATTTGGATATTAGTGATGCATGTTTTCCGAAGTATATCACACATGAAACGGTCACTTTGGCCAAGTATTCATGCCAAGAGAAGGTCAACATGCTGGAATTCACCTGCTTGAACTATGGTTTATGCACTTACCTTTTACTCAAATTATAAAGTGCTAGACGCCTTAGACCATAGCACCTGCGAAATCGCTGTGTCACCTTGTTTCGACGCTCTTTCAAAGCCACTTTCTTTCATATTGAACCTCGAATTTTATCGGTTTCGTCGACCCACGATAGAATTCACCACTCCGTTTTCCTTCTACCTCATATTTCTGCCCTTGTCCAACTTATTTATGCTAGTTCTCCTGCCTTCAATGTATCTTCGTAATCGGCATGCTCACTTACCCTCTTCCTCCCTCACCCCCCAACGCGCAGCTCTTCGGGCCAAACTTTGCAAAAAATAAAGCTGTGAAATGGATGAATGCAATGGGTATATTTCCAAACTAAGGGTTGGTTCAATTGAGTCAAATATTAGGTCATTCCAAAAGTAATTTCGCTTTTTTCAAATGGGCGCCACATTTGATGGAACAAAGGTTTCTAAGAGATTTTGATAGCATTCTATGCAGTATTTCATCCTCTATCTTATAGTAATGGAACCGTTGCAGCGCATTCAATGAGCTTTTGGAAAATAACCAAAACCTGCGACCTATGCTTTTTGAGATGGGCAAGTTTCACAATTTTTTTAAACTTTTAAATCAACCCTCCGAAAAAGTCCAAGTAACGAGAAAGTCCAAGTAGTTTAAGCAAATCCTAGAGAGTGCAAAACAACTTTTCTCTTCTTTCCATAGCCTGTCATACATTTTTAACAGAATTTCAACTGATGCTACCGAATTCCATACTTGGGCAGCTAAATCCTCGTAGAACATCAAAGGAAGAGCAGCTCGGGCACTAGTCGATGCAGCATTTTCTCCTCTTTCTATTTTGTTTCCGATTCGTTTAGTTTTAGGGTATAAAATTATGGCAACTTTTCTTAACAAGCCCCTTTACTCGAAAAACACGAAATTTAATATTTCAATCCGTAAACCCTCACATGCTTTGTAAACTTAGTGCTAATTCATAGTAAACTCTCACATGCTTTGTAAAAATTTGATATTTCGAATCCGTAAACCCTCACATGCTTTGTAAAATTAGTGCTAATTCATAGTACCCATCTTGGTAGTCTCAAATTTCGAATAATTATGAAGTTTGGTGCGATTGTGGCTGATGTATGTAGGCCTGCCAAAATCCAATGGCTTTGTTAAAAAATCTTTCAAAAATTTACGGCGAGTATGAGAAAGAAAAAAAAGTTGCACTGTATTCTATAAGCTTTGTTCTATCGAATAGTTACTTGAATTCCTTCTGAGGGTTGATATGAGAGTTTTAAAAAATTGCGAAACTTGGCTATCTTAAAAAGCATGGGTTGTAGATTTTAGTTATTTCCGAAAGCTCATTGACTGCGCCGCAACGTTTTTATAACCATTAGAAAGAGGATGAAATTCTGCATCGAATGCTACCAAGAACTCTCATAAACTTTGTTCCATCAAATGTGGCGCCTGTTTGAAAAAAGCGAAATTACTTTCGGAATGACCTAATATTTCAATCCTACACGAAAAGCTAAATGCCTCTTATTTGTCAGTGTTTGTGCCTGTAGGTATGTTCCAAATAGATAAATTCGTTTTTGAGCCATCTAAGCAAACTCTGCACACCCTCTCATACATATTCGGGGTGGGGCATGCTATAGGCTACTTTAAACTAACGATTATAACAATTTATTGATTTTTCAGCAAACTTTGAGCTGCGGGAGGGTTGACATAGGGTGATAAGTGAGCATGCTAATGATAGGTGCATATTCATCCCTCAAAAATATCAATTGCTTTGGCTAAGCTGGTAGGGCGGTGGAAGCTGGCTCTTAGTTGGAATGCCCGGGGTTAGCGCAATGGGGTAGACGAGCATAGTGATTGTGCGAATACAATACTCATCTTTGAGATTATTATTAGTCTCTGTTGACTTCATTTTGCAGTCTCCTATGCTCGAAGTTTGCACAGGGGGGGAGGTGAGCATGCTGATTGCAAAAAACGGTGAGGCCGGAGAAGTGGTATGTGGAAGAGGGACAGGAACAGGGAATTTTTGCGTACAAATGTAATGGAATGATGAGTTGATCAGGGTAGTTGATAAGTACTGAGCAGAGCAGAGTGTCCCAGCTACATTTCGACCATTGTTTTTTATAGCAGATTTGACAAACTTCTTAATTCACCTTTTTGTCTGATGAGAGTTGCAAGAAAATATTATGGCGGGAATAATAAACGAAAAAGTTTAGGATGCATTGCTCAGATGAAGAAGAGGTTACTACTAGACCTGGTTTTTTGACAGCTGTAGCTATGCAAGCTGTAGCAAGTTGGCTATCCATTATAGTCTGCATTATAGTCGCAAGACGAAGCAGAAACTTGCTTTTTCACATCAATTGCAAGGTAAGTCTTATTAACATATTCGAACCATTTACCTGACTTGATTGTGCTTACAATTCATTCAACGAGTTCTATTGGTTGTTGCAAAAATAATGTCCGTTTTTACAGGCCTATATTCCAAACAACTTTTTTCCATCAAACTTTCTTGTATGATATAGAATCTTGAGCAACACGACCAAGATGGCAATATCTCTTAATTAACTTCGGCCAACGTTTCGGCGCAATCGCCTTCGTCAGAGCCTAGAAAGTCGAATACATATGGATCTCTTTCCTCAGACGTCAATGAAGAAGCAAGACAATTCAGTTGAAAGCTAGTACGAAGGAAAGAACCAGAGCCACGGCAAAGCAATACTCACCTTAATCGTTGCATAGGGGGTACGAGGGACCACCAACTATGCAATAATCACACAATCACAATCAATAGGACCCAGGGTATCACGCAAAATCGTAGGCAGCCTCCAATTTGTTCACAAAGGACTGCGGAGCAAGGCAAATAGCGAGCAGAGCGAAAGAGAGCGGAGAAACGCGGTTGTAAGTCCTCTCCCTGCTATACCCTTTCCTAGGCTGTTATTCAAACCGCAGGAACCAAATAGCATGGTAGATTCAAAGTTCCGTGTGTTTGCAACATCAGTATATGCCATCCTCGCCAAATTTGCCACAAAGCGCCAAAATAGTAATTTAACACCAGCTCAGCGCCACGGTCTACGCGAAATCCGTAATCTTTGCAGCGCCGGGGAGATCAAGATTTCCGTTAGCGACAAAGGGGGTGAGTTCGTCGTTCTTTCACGTGAACTAGACATAGCGATAACGCAGAATCACCTACAAGACGAGACTGTCTACCAGCCATCTAACGCAGTAGAGTTCGGAAGGCAATATCGCCGTCTCAATAGAGTGTGGACCGATATAGCTCGCTCTTCAGGGTTTCCCAAAAGTCTTATCTCGCACCTAAAGAGCGATTTAGCAACTTGTCCCGTACTTTATACGCTCATAAAAACGCACAAACTCCCCGCGGGAGGTCTTAGCTCCAATAATCCGTGCGACTTGAAGGTTAGACCAATAATAAGCGGCGTTGCGGGCATTACTGATAGAATTGCATGGTTTCTTAACATCATACTTGTTCAGTTGTTGAAATTCGTTCCAGCTCACTTGTCAAACACCGGCATGCTCCTCGAGCGGCTTCGCAGCACGCAATTGAGCCCAGAGTGTGTGACAGAATCATTTGATGTCACTTCACTCTATACAAATGTTTCGAATGATGCTGCGCTGGAAGCTATTTACGAAATCCTACTGGAACATCAGTCCTCTCTCAGCCTGGTTTCTCAGTCAGAAGTATAATGACCCTCGTAAGCGAATGCTTGAACTGTAACGTATTTCGCTGGTCAGGTCATTATTACAAACAGGTCAGAGGACTAGCGATGGGGCAACGCCTTGCGCCTACCTTAGCCATTATCTTCATGTCTAAAGTGGAATCGCCCGTGCTTACAAGAAAGCCTTTGTTGTATTGCCGCTATATAGACGACTGCTTCATCATCTGTCCAACCCAGGACGAGATGGATGCTTGTTTCGATCTGCTCAATCAACAGTTTTCGCGCATCAAGTTTACACGGGAGAAACCCTGCGATCAATGGCTACCGTTCCTCAATGTGCAAGTGCATGTATCTAGGGGCGATTATAGAACAAAGTGGTATCGGAAACCCAGCTGCAAGAACATTTTAGTGCATTACTTATCCGCGCATCCAAAGAAAGTCAAGCAGTCCGTGATTGGAAACATGTGCCGAACGGCTATTAGAGTTTCATCGGGTATCCAGGAGCGTTCCTACTCTTTAGCGTTACCCAAACAAATAGGCAGGTCGAACGGGTACACAACAAGTAGCTGTGCTCCTAGATCGCCCGCTTTTTTAAGCAGTAGAAATCGCTTGGAAGAAGCCACGGATAAGATTTCATTCTGCATGCCTTTCATCTCGGACTATATAAGCAGCGCGGTGCGGCGATGCGTATATCAGGCGGGTTTGCAAGACGCGCTTAGGGTGGTCGATATTCCGTCGCCCAACCTTAAGAGGCAATTGGTCAGGAATAGAGCGTATGATCGGAGTTGCTTGACTCCAGGCTGTGTAGTTTGTCCATTCGGTAAAGAGGGGATTGTATGGTGGCAGGCGTGATATACATCATCACATGTTCATCATGTGGCGACACGTACATAGGCGAAACTGGGCGCCCGCTTTGCTGCCGCATAAAGGAACATCTAGATGGACTGAACAAGTCAAGGACCAGTACACCGCTCGGTAGTCATCGCTTACTACAACATGAAAATGCTGAAATACAAATTGGAGCCTCGATCTTGTCCTACGAACCCGAAGTCCTATTGCGCAAGACTTTGGAAGCGTTTTGGATCAGCGCTAAAAATCCAAAAATGAACCGGAAGGAGGAGTGTATTGCAATAACTAACGAACTCGCGCCATATCAGGCCCTCTGCGGTTTCTGAGGCTAGGTCAGGTCACCTCATTACTATAAATAGGGCAAAGGTATAGTTATTGCATAGTTGGTGGTCCCTCGTACCCCCTATGCAACGATTAAGGTGAGTATTGCTTTGCCGTGGCTCTGGTTCTTTCCTTCGTACTAGCTTTCAACTGAATTGTCTTGCTTCTTCATTGACGTCTGAGGAAAGAGATCCTTATGTATTCGACTTTCTAGGCTCTGACGAAGGCGATTGCGCCGAAACGTTGGCCAAAGTTAATAAAGAGATATTGTCATCTTGGTCGTGTTGCTCAACATCCTGCTATGGTTCATAACTATGCCAAGATTAAAGAACAGTCGGAGTTGGAAGATATAGAATCTGCATATCATTAAGAAGCTCTCACCATGTACTTTCCTAAAGTGGTGGAATTGAATTGCTATCCTCATCTGTGAGAATTTCACCAGCATTTTGCACATCAGCACTCAAAATCGAAATTTCATAGCTTTCAGTTTCTTAACCACGATTCAGGAGCAAATAAACGAATTCTTCTGAAAACATAGCTGATGTATTGGATGAAGACTGTTTACCTACTGCGTGTTTATGTAGATTTTTGGAGATATCACGACTGAGAAATTGACGCTTCGAAATAGATACTCGCTGTTGACATTCTGTGGGCCAGAAATTTCTCATAATTAAGGCAATCGAAAAAGCTTCGCCCATTTCTGTAAGCTTGAGATAAGCACACCTTAACTACAATATTTGAAGAGACTTAGGTATTCAGTGCGCGAAGAATTCCAAATTTTCATGATTTGGCACTCACAAGCCTACAACAAATAGGCTCCAAAAAGTTAACATTTTTGAATTTTTATCTTTTCTTTTCGCAGAACTCCTTCTTTGGAGTCTTTTCTATGCACACGTAAACTCATGGCCGGCGGCTACAAAATGAGCTGATTGCCAGCCATACGAACAAAACTTAAAGGGAGTTGTAAGCTCTTAAGGACGAGGTTTTCAAAAGAAAAAGTTTCAGTTTCTCGACGCATGGTTTTCTTCCCGTTTGCGATATCAATACGGCGGGTGCGCGCTAAATTACGAAAGGTTAGCTGTTTTTTGATGGTCTTGACTGCATTCAAAAATATGAAGAATGAACAAAGTTATAGCCTTCCAAAGTGAAATTTGCAAAACGGACATTATTTCTGCAACAACCTAATACTTATATCTTTCTCAGCAGAAGCGCAGCACATGCGCTGGTAGGAAAACAAGCATATGTGCAACGCTTTAACTGGGCGAGACTAGTTCCTTCCTTTTTCAGCAACAATGCAAATTTGCAGGAACTTGAAGAAGAACTCTGTTCCCACTGTACCATATAGATTTCAAGATTTTGGAGCCGTACAAGTGTACATTTGGAAACTTGTACATCTCTCTTTCTTTCTAACAGAGCATTCGCAACGCTTGCTTTTACAGTAGTCTTATATGCCCCTTGTTTACTTCGAGTTTGGAGGGGTTGCTGAGTACAAATTCTCAAAGATAATCTCCTGGCTTCTATAGATTCACTAAGGCCCGTATGCACGTACATCCCCGCGGGGAGGGGATGTGCGCTTAACCATTGAAATGATCCCCGCTGGGGATCCCCTCCCCTCCCCGCGCGAACCCTCGTATGCACAAAGACAATATCGTACAAGGGATCCCCTGTGGGGAGGGGAAGTGAACCCTCTTATGCACAAGAGGGGATCAAGCGGGGAAATCACCTTGCTTTCAAATTTTCTATGAAAACCTCTTTCTTATTTCATATTTTGACTGCAACTCATCTTCATCTCCTCACTTCAATTAATTTAGGGTTGCGGAATGTGCGTATGCAGTGACTGCGCTCGGGGCGCTACTGCTTTCTTGGATGCTGCCCACTTTCGTTCATGCTGCTCCATTTCAGCGTCAAAATGTTGAACTATAGAAGTTAATGTGTCTCTGCAAGGGAATGGCTAGAAGACGTTAGCTGCCGAAAAGGGGGGGGGGTGCCGCGCGGACGCTCAAAGCAGTATTCTAACACATAACAGAAGCTGCAAATTGTGCCAGCTCTCCATAAACGCTGTAACTATCAGCTGCATATCGTCGTTTATCCCAGGGGAATGATCCCCAGCAGCCATCCCTGCTATGCACAAGGGGAACGCTGGGGAGGGGATCACTCCCCAGGGGATTTCTACTCAGAAATAGGCAAATATGCTACTTTCTAGATTTTTTCGAGGCTGCTTATGTTAAAAAACAAGATAATGGCAACATGTCATGAAATATGAAAGTTACAGTGTGTTTATTCAGCCTATATAGTTAAACTATTATGTTATATGAAAAATGCGCAAATTTCCTGAATGATCAAGAACTCCTACAAATAATCGAAATTGGCAGCTATTGTTGCTCGGATTTCTTCTCAAGAGGCGAATATAGAAAAGAAAGACAAATTGCAAGCCACAGGTCGCTGAGAGAAGAACCCGGCTTTCAAAGAAAATCCTCCCTCAAAATGAACGAAATGCTTGGTAATGACTGAGCAGAACCAGAATAT